ACTAAAGAAGCAAATCTAAAAATATCTGCCATTAATTCACTTTCACAATTTTCAGTTAATGTTAAATAATGTGTACCTATAAATGATAGAGAAGATAGTGGAATTTGCTGAATAAATTGTTTTAAATTAAATCCTAAATTTAAATTTCCTTCATCATTTTGTCCAAATATTCATATTGTATTTTTTGAATAGTTGCATTAATTGTTGCATCTATATCAAAAAATCAAATATATTTTTCTTGAAATATTTTACTAAGTTTAGCAATATATCCCAAAATATCATATAAAAAATGAAAAAATGCTAAAAGTTTCCAGTTACATAACTCATCATAAAGTGCTGTAATTAAATCTCTTTTTTGTGTATTTGTAATCTCTGTAGCAGTTGAAACTAATGTATCTAATAATGATTCAAGTATTATACATAAATTCTTTACAGTCTCAAAAGATGAAAGCCATCGAATATCAAAAATTTTACGAATTTTGATTTCCGGCTTGTTTAAAAATTCTTAATAGCCATGTAATATATCTATTCTTTTGCTTAATTTACTAAAAAATTTATAACATCTTTTCATTATTTGTTCAGCTTTTTTGCAAAAATCAACTTGTCTATAAGCATTTTCAGATGCTAATGATAATCTATGTGCAATACAATGAGTAATAAAAAGATATGGATTATTTTTTGCAATCCTAGCAGCTACACCATTATTTTCTCCCATCATTACACTTACACCATCTGATACAAATGACATGATTTTATTAGTTAAATCTAAATTTTAAATAATATTTATATTAGTATTATAAATATATAAAATAAATTAAATCAATAATAAATTTAACTTACTTTTTTTATCAAACAATGTAATTACTGTATTATAAATTGTTTATGTGTCAGCATTTTCTAATTGTAATAGTTTTAAATATCAAATCTTTATTACCCTATGTAAACAATATTTAACATATAATATTACATGTAATTCAGTTGCAATATCGGTACTTTCGTCTAACATTATTTTAAAAGCTGAACAAGCTTCTAAATCTTGCCAAATTTTGTTTTCGATTATTTGAGCAAAAGCATCTAACATTTCAAGACTAATAGTATGATTATCATACATTGAACCATTATCATTACTAGCTTTAATATGTGGCACTCCAATAAATCGTGAAAAATTGATAAAACTTTTAAGTTTATGTAAAGGAAGATTTTCAGATGCTAACCAAAAAATCAATTTCATTACTTGAATGATATGTTGATGAGCTTTATTAATAGTATTATTTGTAACAGTTTTCATTGCCCTTTTTTGATTTTCTAATCGAAAAGCTTTTTCATGTTGCTTAGTACCAGCATGTTCGGATAGTGCACTAATTTTAAAATTTTTTGATCCTGTACATTAAATAAAATAATTAGATAAATAATTTAAAAAATTGTAGGGAAATACATATGCAATCGGAATTAAAAATACTTTTAGTTACTTTAGCAAATTCGTTTTTTTAACTATGAGCCATACATAATGTACAGAATATTCTATTTTTGTTTACATCATAAAATACCCAAAGATATTGATCCTTTCAAGAAGAATAATATATATTGTGTGTTTTTCTTTGAAACTTAACCTTTTTTTTAGAATTACGAATATGATGAGATAAAATAGGAGCTTTGGCTTTTCGTTTGTTATTCTTAGGTGAAGAAACTATATATTTTTCAACCCCTTCATTACTGGAATTATTTGTTTCGGTTGAACTATGTTCTAAATTATTGTCTGAAATATCACTAAAAAATTTAAAATAAAGTTAAATTAATTGGAATAAAAGTAAATTTAGTTATACACTTTAAATTTAAGCTATATATTTACTATTCAACTTCAGAACTTTCATCTTGGTCAGAAGAAACCAACTGTACTTCATCTCTGGTCTTCTTAAAAAAATTTAATAAAGACATTATGTATGAAGAAAGTTACTGATTATCAAGTTGTACGAATTGTGAATATGTAACGTATGATCTGGCCTATAAAAAAATCTCAGCCAATAAAATCTGGACAAATTTAAATTTTTCAGTTCTGGATAAATATCCAGTTTTATAACAAAAATTACGGATTTTGAAATAAAAATCTGGTAAATTCAGAATTTTTATATACTAGTTTGAACACTGTTCCTGGCCATATAGGTGGATGAAGGAAATTCTTTAAACTGATATAGATCAATATCTTTTAAAACAAGGCTAAAGAAGCCAATCAACGAATTAATTGAAACATCAGGAAGTTTAAACCTTTCTTGGAATTTAAAGATCCAAAGAAGAATTCATAAATCAGTTTTACCAATATTCATAATAGAATTATCCTAATCTGAATCATAATCAAGATTAACGGAAGCTACAAATAACTCATTATCAAATGAGAACAGTTCATCATCTAAAGTTTGTTTATCATCAAATGATCGAAAACTCGCTTTATCACTAAATGAATCATCCTATTCAAGTTCTTCATCTGGAAAGATGTTAATATTATCAGTTATACGAAATTTATCATATCTTCTTCACTTTTTTTTGACAGAAGTTAGATTTCTAATAAAAGTCTTTTTATCAGATTGATCATGATCATTGTCAATTATTATATCATCTTCGCGAAGATTTTGAGAAGAATCAATATTCATAGATTGAATTTTAACTGAATTAGATCTATCGTGATTTTCTTTGCTTTTGTTTTTATCTATTTTAGAGATTGCATCTTGGAGCTGTTTCTCTTTTATTTTATGCTTATTCCTGATTCTTGTGTCGACAAGTTTACCATTATATATTTTGCAATCACATAGTACTTTTGGTCGAATTTTTGTAGCTTTTTTAGTTACATATCTTTCTTGAATCGATTCTTGCTTCTTTGATCATTTGAACATTTTAAAAATATAAAGATTATAGAAAAGAATTGAATGCACCAGTTATATAAACTATCCAATTAATTATTTAAATTTGAAACTTTACTATTATTGTGAATTTTGTGATTGAGCCTTATTACCGAAGTTTATTATTGTAATTTTTTAGTAGATATATATATGAATATAGACTAGTTGATTAAGCAAAAAATCATGAATAATACTTTATACCAAAAAAAAGTATATTTACTAATATATTTTTAAATCAATTTTGATAGATATAAAAAGGACTAACTTCAGAGCGACTTTAAAAAAGAGAACAAAATTACTTTACACTTTTTAAAATACATACCATAATACAAACATTATCTATTATTTATTATAACTTCTGGTAGGAGTTCTCATTCTGAACATAACCAAAACAGGTCTCGGTCAAGAAGAAATAGAGATAAATAGCATGTTAGAGATAGGCATGATAGAAATAGATGATTAAATTATAATAGAGATATAAGTTCAAGTTATAATAAAGATAGAAGTCCAAGTTATGATAGAAATGGAAGTTCAAGTTATGATATAGATAAAAGAAAGAGTTTCAATCGTAACTAGCAAGCTACAACAATGATATTATTTTTTTCATTTCATTCATCATGTAATTAATTATAATCATCAGTATAATTCTCTGTCATCTAATTCTTTAGAATTAGATGATGAAGATGATGAATCATTTTTAAAGGAATATCATAAAAGAGGTAATGATAAGGCAAAGAAGAAAGAGAAACAAGCTGATAAGGGTAAGTTTTGTTGTTTTTTACCAGTATTTACATCATATTATACATGATGAACATATATTTTAGATCGATTCATTTCACTTTTACAAGATGATGATATTTAAGAACTATTTAAAGAATTTCTACAAAGCAAAACGAAGAAACTGGAACCAGAAAATATTTTATCACCAGATCAATATGATATAAACTATAAGGCAGAAAGTCAAAATCAGCTCTAAGTACAACAAGATTGAAGTCGAAGCCAATTAAGTTTTCAAAATCAATCGCAGGTCTGAGTACAATAGGAGAGTAAAAGCTAATCAAGATATCGAAGTTTAACAAGATCTCAAAGTCCAACAAGATCTAGAATTTAATCCTGATCAGTTTCGAGTTTAAGTTCTAATCAGGGTAATGGTAGATCAAAATACTTATATACTACTGACTTATCTAATGATCTCTGAGATGCTTTAAAAGTAAGTTATTTTATTTTACCAGTGTACATACATTAATGTTCTACACTTTGCTCTAGATAATTAACGATATCCTTTTAGCATCAGATTTTTTGGATAATTAAAAGATTACTGATTACAAAATCAATTAAAACTAAATCAAATATTTAAAGATCAGAGGAATATTATAAATAGTACGATAGTCCTATCAGTAATGAATGCTTTAGATTTAGAAACGTTTCCAGTTTCTGAATCTATTGTATATGAAATATTTCATAGTAGACATAAACACCAACAAGAAGAATATCTAAAAAAATAACGATCGTTAACCTACTAAGATGAGCAGGCAAAACGAAAACATTTAAATAGTAGGAGAAATAACGTAAATAATAATGAGCATATTTTTTTTATTTTGTTTACTAATTTTATTATAATAACAGAAACGAAGAAATCATGCCAATACTATTAAACATTTAGAAGTAATTAATGATTCACTAATTAAGATGTTCAAAGATCATGAACTTCGACCAATTAATGATAATTCTGTATACCATTCTCCCAAAATTTCAGAGACTGACGAAGAAGACACTTCTAATAAAAGGAAGATTGTAGTAAAAGACTTAAAATAGCGCTCAGTTACAGTAAGATTAATGATGAATATTATGAATATTATATGATTGAGATTCTGATATTAACTAATTTTCTAATTTTTAATTTTTATTTGTAGTTACAAACATTTTTACATGATTATGTTGATCGTATATTTGCTAAGTTATCTAAAATTCTAAAGAAATGATCTTGAGCTTACGACTCTGTCAATTTTTACGAAAATGAACAATCAAAGCCATTTCAGACTTCAAAATGGACTATTAATGGATATAAAGGTTCGTTAAAGACAGCTGTACAAAAGGCTTGTATAGAGCAATTGTCAAATACATTTCCTATAAAACCCGACCAATAAGAATAATAATTATAAGCATTGAAAAATACGACTAGGTATTCATTTTATTAAAGTAATATTCTATTTTTATATAAATTATTGGCAGAAGTTTTTTTTATGTATAAATTATAATATTTCATTGTATGTTGGAATAATATTTGCTATTTATATAATATAATATCAATTTAAAAATTTATTAAATCGTTAAGAAGTATATATAAATCATCCTTAATCAGAACATTCCTAATTATCCTTATTGAATAATTGAACAAATTATTTAAAGCAACTGAATAAATTAGATACAATCGTCTATATTCTGACTTGTGTAAGACTTAACTTATTATATACTGTGAGATAAACTAACTTCAATATGAATGAATAAACGAATTTATAAACATTAAAAGTTTAGCATCAATCAGATTTCTGATTTAATTTAATTTGATAAATCCTCTATTGATCTGATTGTAATTTATTTTTTAACAAAATTGTTATCAATACTAATTTTAATAATTTAATTTTCCATAATCAACATAATAAACTAACTCCAATAGTCCATTTTATTGGGGCCTATTATATCTGATTGCCATCATAATCTGACTATAATCAGCATTCATCAATATGGTCCAATAATCTTCAACTGGCATCCAGTCGAAGTACAATAATGATGCATATTGACACCAGATTGTATGCTGGTTTGTCATCTTTGGATACATGGATGTTTTATTAACGAATTCTTTAATTTTTCATATCCTTTCTTAAATAACAATTTTTGGGTTTTGATTCCATTATCTTGATAAATGCATCTCTTTTGCCGATCACGATTAACAATGTCCTCAAGTTTTTAACATCTTTATACCAGCTAGTGTTATGAAACTGATACTAAATCCCTTGCACTTCCAGCACGATTTGATATTTTTGAAAGAAGGTATCAAGCTCTAATTCATTCAAGAAAAGAGGATGATATTCGATTATAGATTCCTCAATAAGAATTTTCTTAGCTATCTGGATACATCTAGTTTAGAATTTGCGATTTTTCTTAGATTCTGATTCTTTTTAAGCTCATCGAGATACCGCTCTAACTTCTCAATTCTAACATCATGTCTGTTACTCTCTTTTATTATCTGCCTTATAAGCTCTGCATTTCTGATATCAAATTCAATAATACGTTACCTCAATGAATTTATTTTAGATTGCATAATATAAAATAATATTTATGCTTTGTATGTTAGTATTCAAAATTAGTAAAACTATTCTAGTTATTTCAGCTGATTTTCAAGTGAAAGTTTTTGCCAAGAAAAAAATTTATTATTACATACGAAAATAAATACAAATGTTTAGGACCTAGCTCACGATACATATTATTTTTTGATAAATTTTTTGATCCTAGCCTTTTTACTAGTTGAGGAACTATCTACATTAATCCTATTCTTTAACAATTTCACAATGATATCAATCACCCTTTTCACGATGCTACAAAGTAATTCAGGATTTTCTTTGACAGCTGATTTTATGAGATTAATCTGGTATTTCACTACCATTTTTATAGTAAATACCATCTAAAGTAAATATTATAAAATGCCACTCCATATCTGTAATTATAATACTATAGATATAATCGAAATAGTCATTTTCAAATACTTGATCTGCAGTCTGTTTCTTTTTATTCATCTAAAATGCTTTATGTCTTGCTATTGGGAAGGAAAAAGTTAAGGAGATATAAGATGCAATTAGTATTATCATCTGATACTGAGCTTCATGAAAGCATATGCAAATGGAATCTTCATACCTTTTCACATGAAGAGATCCTAAAGGGATTAGATTTACTGAAAAAATATATAGTTAGTTTTACTCCTGGCAATCTCAAAATTCCAAAGTCCTCAACATTTCATAACATATACTTTGTCGACATTATTTGCTT